TTTTTTTTTTTTTAATGTTGATCTAGAGTAGATAAGTATTTAAATACTAATTTGAATCAGTAGTTTCTACTGCTATAATATTTTTTTCAATGCTATAAAATATAGGTATATATCGCATGTAATATTGGATCTAGTATTTATTGTACTAGGAAAATATTTATAAATTATAAAATGTAGATRAATTAATAATAATAATTAACATTTCGAAATCATTAAAGCCCATTTTTCTCCAAACCTATTATACCACGGACGTAGTACCCTTAGCCCACAAAGTTAAATAACTCATAAATTGCTTCAAATTTCCATTTGGATATATAAATGTTTTCAGAATGATATCTGATTTACAATTTCAAAATATAATATAATATTATAATAAATTTTAAAACTTGTAAGTATTATTACTAATAATATTTTAAAATAACTATAATTGTTTTAAGTTTAAATATTCTGTTTCGTCTGAATTTGAACTTAAAAAAAAATTGTTCCTATGTACCTTTAATATTTTTGAATTCTTATATATACAGCTTATATGAAACTTAAATAAAATGTTCAAAATATTTGATCAAACACAAATGTTTGCATATGATTTTAAAAAAAATCGAACATTTGAAATTTCCATAAAAAGCTAAAATATAAGCGTCAWAAGATTTAAAAAATATATAATGTTTAGTAAATGCTTGTATACATATATTTCATATTTAGTATTAGTATCTTAGTTATTCGCTTTTGAGTAACACCAAACAAACAATCATTTTTTTCACGACTCTTTTGGAAAATAATTTATACTTCGATCTCTCATAAGGAGTAAGGGCCAATTAGATTCAATGTTCTATCAGAATCCAACATCAAAGTTGAACATAATTTTTTCAACTATTTTTTATGTATACCTAACCTATATAAAAAAAATACATTGTAAAATCAATGCAATTACCACTTCACTCAGAACATAAGAAAATGATTCAAATTTGAAAAATAAAGTCACCACAAGATGATACTCTTTAAATGGTATAAAATGTTTAAGTATTTAAGAATATGGTACTTCAGTGTACTTAAATATTCAAAATTTGAAAAAATGCACTGTTGTAGAAAAAAAAAATTGGAGGGAATTGATGAATGTGTACTATCATACTGTAAAATAATAATATCTACTTAATTTTTCACAGCTAAGAGGTTTGTATATTTAATTATTACGGCATATTTATTTATTTATATATAAATTATTATATAATAATATTCATTAAATTTTTTTTTTTTGTTCGCATATTGAATGTGCGCATTACACGTATGACAGACAACGAAGAGGGGAAAAAAGACACATTTCAGAAAAAGAGCCAGATCTTGCTGGCGGATTATACACGTATGTATGATTTACACACGTATATATATACTATGTATATGCGTACACTGGTGTCGGATTAAACGGACCATGTGTAGGACCCCAAGAGTCGGGTCGGATTACCCACACGTGTTGTTCGTGCGAGTGTGTCTGGAACGCGATTTATCCAAAATGACTTCAATATTATATTATTTACAGTAGAGTAGGTACCTATATAATATGGACCTTTACATATATCTGATCCTTGCGTGGGCGTGTAATGTGTAAACACCAACGGTTATATCGCGCAACGATGTTATTACAATATCGTTGTCATCAATTCAGAGGCAAAATTATATTATTATTATTATTTTTTTTTTAGATAACCAGTTTTCCTGTTTTTGTTTATTTTTTTATTTTGTCTTTATTCCAATCTCAATATTCGTTTACAACTGGTTTAAATACGGAGACATCACCGTTCCTCGCTGAACACCGACCGAAACTCGTCGAAACATCAGATAAAAGTACGCCGCTATACCGCTGTAGAATTTTCACTTTTAAAATGTATTTATTATTCACATGATATTATATTATTATTCAATGTAAACGGATGATATATTGCTATGTC